GATTCTATAATCTAGGGCCTAAGAGATGATTGAGAAAGGCAAGCAACATGATTACCAGTGTCTTGAGGAGGATGCTGAGAAGAAACCTTCTTGAGAAATGCCTCATAGTCGGCATTTGAAAGAGTTACTGATCCAATAGAAGGTGGTGTAACATCAGTCTGAGCAAAGTTGGCAGTCGGGGGTTTCAAGTCAGGGTACTTCCTGTAGCAGCGTTCTTCAAAATGTCCAAGATTCTGGAAATAATTGCAACAAGGCCTCTGTCCGCGGCCACCCTGTCCACGGCCACGTCCGCGACCGCGTCCACTGTTCCAATTGGAATCATTGGAACGAGAAAAGAATGCGGTGGAATCGGTAGCTGGCACATGTGTGGAAGTTGTTGATTTATCCTTAAGATTCAGACGGCGCTGGAAAGTGTGTGACAGGCTAGGAGTCTCAGCACTGGTTAGAATATTTTCACGAACACTTTCTAACTCCTCGGAAAGACCGGGGAGGGTTACGTCCATAAAGAAGCGCTCCACCTGCTTTTTGTACGCAGAGGCATCTGCAGCATGAGGTAACATGGCTAAGAATTCTTGCATCAAAGAACGAATCTTACCAATATAAGTTTCCATGCGAGACTCTAGAGATTTCCATTATCTGAGACACAATTGAATAAAGCTGTTGAATGTCATTGGTGTAAAGGTTTTTAGCTTCCTCTTATACGTCACAGCAGGTCTCAAAGGAGATGAAAATGTCTATAATTGTCGGATCAATGGACTGCCAAAGGATACTTAGCAGTTGAGCATCAATCTTTTCCCATTCTGCTTGATCTTTTGAAGTATTGGCAGACTTAGTTGTGAGATGTTGACCGTATCCCTGACCAGTAAACCAGATCTTAACTGAGGTAGACCAGGTCTTCTAAGTAGCAGATCCGGTCAGTTTCGTTGTTGTAATGGATGGGGTAGTACTGGAGATGACACCGGTAATGTTTTTGGATGCACTACCTAAGCCCTCCATCACAAAAAATAAACAACGATGACCAGATAACAGCAAGGATTGCAAGAAATCAAAAAATAAATAAACAAGACCAGATAACAGCAAAGGATTGCAAGAAATCACGTAAACAATTAAAAATTATTGTCCAGTACTAGGAACGGAAACACAGAGAGCAAATAATCACTGAACTCCTTTGAACGGACGAGACCCACAACGGATTGAGAGAAGATCTAGGACGAGACCCAGCAAATAATCACTGAACTCCTTTGACGGAAGACCCACAACGGACACGGAACAATTAAACTTTCTGAGCAGATTAATTTAACATCAATTTTTCATGTTCCTTCTCTGGCTTGCAATCTCATTTCCATTACCAAGCTGACTTCTGAGTTGCATTGTTTTGCTAAATTCTTTCCACATATTGTGTTTTTCACGAATAGGACTCGGAAAAGATGATTGGCAGTGCTAGAGAGGATGGTGGACTTTACTACTTCGAGGAGGATGTGACTCATGAAGCTGTTTTTGTGGAAAAAGACCATGTTTCCTTTTGATTCATGTAATGATGTTATGTTGTGGCACCATAAGCTAGGCCATCCCAATTTTACCTATCTTCAAAAGTTGTTACTAAACTTAATTATTAATAAAAGTCTTACTTTGTTTTCTTGTGATATTTGTCAACTTGTCAAGCATACTTGTGTTTATTATCTTTCTAAAGCTCACCACGACTCTTCCCCATTTTCTCTAATTCATAGTGGCATATAGGGTCCAGCCCGTGTAAAGAATATTTCAGATGCTCGATGGTTCATTACCTTCATTGACGACCACTCTCAAGTTTGTTGGGTATACTAAAGGATAAGTCAAATGTTGCATCCATTTTTAAAAAATTCCATGCCATCGTTCAAACCGGATTCCAAGTTGCTATAAAAATTCTTCGTACAGATAATGGCAAAGAGTATTTTAACTCTATTCTTGGAGAATATCTCTCACAACATGGCATCCTTCACCAAAGCTTGTCTCCTGACACACCCCAACAAAACGGAGTTGCAGAAAGAAAAAACCGACATCTCCTTAAAGTTGCTCGGGCTTTTATGTTCATTATGAGTGTTCCTAAATACCTTTGGGGGGAAGCCATTCTCACTGCCTCGTACCTTATCAATCGAATGCCATCCCGGACTCTCAACTTTTAGTCTCCTCTTTCTAGCCTTTTCTGCACCTTCCCTTCCTTCCGAGGCATCTCCTCTCTACCTCCCAAGTTTTTTGGTTGTGTTGTATTTGTCCATATTCCCTCTCATCAACGGTCCAAGCTTGACCCTAAGTATCTCCCGTGTGTCTTCATTGGTTATTCTCCTACTCAACATGGCTATAATTGTTATTCACCCTCTTTTCGTAAGGTCTTTGTCTCTATGGATGTCACATTTTCTGAGACTCAACCTTTCTTTCCCGTGACTTCTCTTCAGGGGGAATCCATAAGAGCAGATGAAGATCAGTCATGGGAGCTACAGAATCCTCACCATTGTGAGCCTCCTCAAAGTGGGGATAAGTTTATAGCAGGCGAAAGCCTCCTCAAAGTGTGAATAACCCAGAGCAGAGCCTCTACACTGCCAGGATTCTAAACCAAGTTCTAGTTCCAGCACCCCGACACTTGAGTGTCATGACGAAAATGATCTACACTTGCCCATTGCTCTCAGAAAAGGTACTCGATCTTATACTACTCATCCAATTTCTAATCATATTTCATATAAAAAGTTGTCCCCGGGGTTTCATGCTTTCAATACTAGGTTGGACAGTTCAAAGATGAGGCTCTCAATGATCCAAAATGAAAGGATGCTGTCTTTGAAGAAATGAATGCTTTAGAAAGAAATAGAACTTGGGAGATAGTGACCCTACCAAAGGGAAAACAGACAATAGAATGCAAATGGGTGTTTGCAAAAAATTTCAACAGATACATGGCAAGATTGGTTGCGAAGTGGTTCACCCAAACTCATGGAATAGACTATCATGAGACTTTTGCTCTAGTTGCTAAGGTCAATACCATCTGAGTTCTCTTATCACTTGTTGCTAACCTAGATTGGTTTCTGCAACAGTTAAATGTGAAAAATGTGTTCCTAAATGGTGATTTACATGAAGAGATTTACATGGATCCCCCCTAGCTTTAAAAAGAGAGATGGATCAGTGTGTAAACTAAAAAAGTCTCTCTATGGGTTGAAACATTCTCCTACATAATAGTTTGAAAAATTCACACAAGTTGTCAAAGGAAGAAGAGGCTTCATTCAAGCACAGACTGATTATACTCTCTTCCACAAACACTCTAAGAATGGTAAAATTGCTATTCTTATTGTGTACGTAGATGATATCGTTCTTACAGGTGATGATAGTGAGGAATTAAACTTCTTGAAGAAGTATCTAGCAGCTCAGTTTGATCTGAAGGATCTTGGAACTCTCAAATATTTCCTTGGTATGGAAGTCACTAGGAGCAAAGCAGGCATCACTCTCACACAAAAGAAATATGTTCTAGATCTTTTGTTTGAAACAAGAATGTTAGGGTGTAAGCCTGCTGAGACACCTATGGAACCTAATACCAAATTAGGTATTGAAGATGGGAACGAGGTGGATAAAGAGCAATATCATAGATTGGTTGGCAAACTAATTTACTTATCCCACACGCGACCTGAGTATAATTAGTCAATTCATGCACTCACCCAAGGAGAAACATCTAACTGCAGTCTTTAGGGTACTTAGACACCTCAAGAACACTCCAGGCAGAGGATTATGTTTTAGAAAAGGGTATAATAGGACAATTGAAATCTACACTGATGCAGATTGGATAGGTTCATCAGTGGACAGGAGATCTGCTTCAGGCTATTGCACCTATGTGTGGGAAAATCTGGTTACTTGGATAAGCAAAAAGCAAACAGTGGTTGCAACAAGTAGTGCTAAAGTAGAATTTCGAGCTTTAGCTCATAGAGTTTGTGAAGGAATCTGGTTGAGAAGACTTCTTGAAGAGTTGAAAATATCATATTCCCTACCAATAAAACTATATTGTGACAACAAGAAAGCTGTCAGCATTGCTCAAAATCTTGTACACCATGATCGAACAAAGCACGTGGAAGTTGATCGCCACTTTATCAAAGAAAAATTAGACAATGGAAGTGAGTGTATGATGTATGTTCCTACCAAAGAGCAAACTATAGATATCCTCAATAAGGGCCTACAGCCTTTGAAGACTTGATTGACAAGTTGGGAAAGATCAACATTTAACTCCCAACTTGAGGGGGAGCGTGGGAAATTAGGATTAAAATATTTCCATTTTTATTTTCTATTAATTAGTGGATACGTTTTTATTTTCTATTAATTAGTGGATAGGACTAATGACTCATTGTTGAGTCATCTTTATCTATTTTTTCTCATTCTCTCTTGTATAAATCTCCCTATCAGTGTAAATCATTTGTATCAATTCAGAAAAAAAACAATTATTTTATATTTCAATAAGGGCATAAGTACCTTTTAAGAATGAACTACCAAAAGAAATCCAAATTGTACACTTAAATATAGAGTCAAACATATGACAAAATTAATATATGGTATCTGGTTCGATAAGTACATAAACTAAAGTTGGTAACTTTGTATATTTTGCTTTTTAACATTAACAAATCAGCACTTATTTGAGACTAGGTTTTCAATGTTCACAACTGAAAAAGAATGAATTAACCACAAAAATTATCTAAGTCATGACAATATGGAGAAAAACAACGGAGGCTTTTTTTATGGATAATAAAAATGGATAAATCCTGATACGCTCGGTGACTTTGTAAGGATAAGGGTGAAAACATCTCCCGACCCAATATTAATAATAATAGAAAGAATTATAAGAACTAGGATGAAGAGCTGGATATCATGAAATGTGTTACCCAGAACTATCACACAGAGCGTGCATACAATTTCATAAATAAGAACATACAAAAATTTAGGCCAAAATATATCACATAGGTTATATTTTGGGAAACACGTAATGTAACAGAGCTAACCTGCATCTTTTAACAACCATCTCTCGTAGCTCTTCTAAATGCACATCAACTTCAAACAGCTGAAAATATACAAAGTACAATTTATTAAGCAGTTTCATATGCTTAAACATTCTCATTTTAGACGTATCTTTTATTAGTTTATATGCTCGAAAAAGCGTATAGATTATTTGATAAAATTACTCATGGCCCCATATTATACCACTCAATAAGGTTTTAAACCTCTTTTGAATACCTCATTTGTTAAATCTCTAGCCATTTTAGCATGAGCTGCTTCTTGAGCAAGCTGCATGGCCAACTCTGCTTCAGCTTCTTCCTCTTCTCGTCTTGTTTCCTACAATTTAATAAACCCCAGACAATGAAAGTATCAAGACATGTAATTAGAAAAAATCTTAGGAGTCTCCAAAATGAAAATAGGACCATAACATTGCTCAATTAGTAATCAAATTCCATCATACAAATTGGTCTCAGAAAACAATTCGTTGGAATTAAGTTACCTCTTCAGTAACTTTAGGCAGAAGTTGCAACCATTTCTCCTCAAACTTTGCCAGCAAAGTTTTTGCCATCACATGAACATCACTTCTTTCATCATTATATTTCATAGCATTCTTGAAAACCAACCTCACATCAGCACATATTTCCCGAACATGCTTATATCCAGTACCATCTTTAGCCTCCATTTGATTCTTAATGGTACTGAAATCCATGGGCTTGTCAATGACCTAACACGCACCAAATACAACATATCAATAAAAGGCATTTAAAGAGATATGGAAAATCAGATTCCTGAAACAGACGGCGCTGAATGAAAGATTCAATCAGTTAAGTGTTTAAAAAGCCACAACCAAAAATATGTGTCATGTATTTCAAAAAAGCCTCACTTTCTTTGAATAGTAAGATATATTCATTAAAGAAAAGGGAAAGAGTTTCATAACAGTGTAACACGACAAAATATAAGAAAACCTCAAAACAAAGAATATAATCAAGCTCTAAAGTCTCTCTGAAAATGAAATACCCCAATAAAGGCAACACTAATGGAAATCTAACATTGGGAAACTTGAAGGCATATATGAACCATACCTCAAAATAGTCATGTAAACCAAGACCCTCTACATCCACAGGTTGCATAAAAGGCCAAGCCCACTTGTGTTGTGTAATCTGATGGAACAAGACCAATAATCAGAGAACTAATTCAAAAAGAGACAAAGACTTGCTCTACCTGAGCCTTATGGTACTCAAAACACTTTCACCCAATTGCATGGGCTCAACCGCAACAAAAATTACATAAATTAAAAACGAAAAAAAAAAGGTCCCCAGAAGAATAAGGAAAGAAAAGCAATATGATGTACCCAACCGACTTAGCCTAATGACATGAAAACCTGGATCTAGGAGAACGAAGTAGGAAGACAAGGAAGCAGAACACGTGCAGTTGGCACAGGATTAGTTAGGCGGTTGAAGGATAGTTGGAGTCTATAAAGTAGTTAGTGGCTTAAATAGGAAGGAAAAGGCTAATAGGGAGTCAGTTCCCAATTTGTTCATTCTTAGAATTGAGCAGTTGCTCTGTGGAGAAGAGGAAACCCTTGGGAGGATATTTCTGTCCTCTCCTATGTGCGTTTTAATCATTCACTAGAGTTATTTTCTTCTTCTCTACTCTTTCTTGCATCTGCTGGTTCTTGCAGGAATGTTAACACAATCACACCACATGACATTACCAGCTGAAATATACTAATATTTTGTGTAGATTGTTCTGGGAATAGAAATCTTCATAAATAGAGGCATGCCACACATGAAAGTTGGTTTTTAACAAATAATTAAAAATTAGAGGCACCATAAAATTCATTTCTCCATTTTATTGGAAAAGATCTAGAACCTGGTCAACAAGCCATTGAAGGCATGTGTATATTTGCATATTCAGCATGCAATTCCAAATGAAAGAGAAATTTCCCAATCCAACTACGGAAAGCTTGATAAGTTAAATTGCAAAAAAAAAAAAAAATAGACTGAAAGTTGGTCAAATAAAAAAACAAACAAAAACAAAGAACAAAACACAAAACACAAAAAAAAAAAAAAAAAAATAGAAGCCTAGATACAAACATTCGAGTATTCCCAATCAAAACTAATTGGAATCCAACCTAAATGTTTATAATCAGAAATCCTACCTAGGGCAGGTACTCCCCATGCTCCATTCACTTTTTACATCATCTTCAATTTTATTATTTTTGAAAGTTGAAACCCCATTTCACAGTTCCAAAGTAGGCATTTGCAACCATCCATATATGTTTTAAATAATGAATGTGCACCTATGCTCCATTCAATATATAATCACATTATTTTGGGAATATGATAGGACACCTCTAAGGGTGTATACACTAGAAGGTGTCACAGAGGATCAGGATCAGGATCAGCTGAGGTGGCAGGGAATATTCTAGATGGAAGGAATTGAGTTAGAGGGAAAGGGAGGCACTGTTGTGAGCGCTGGGTGCTAACTTGGCTGAATTGGGTTAAGTGTTTATAAGGAGGGTGAGGCATGGGGGATGAGGTAGACTGGAAAATTGGGACTATTTTGGGCTGGGAAACCAGAGTGGAAGAGATCTCCGGAGCCTCTCGAATTGCTCCAGAAACATTTTATCTTTCAGTTTCTTTCTTCTTCCATTACTGTCAAATTGTCTCTGTTATTGTACTTTTCCTTTACTAATATATCATAGAAAATCCAGTTCTCTATGCCATTTTGGTGTTTGTTTGTGCTAAACTCCAATATATGATCTAGTTCTCATCAACTGGTATCAGAGCACTCCGATACTAGGGGTGCTTTGAATGGTTCTTATATGCAACATGGAAAATCGCTTCGAGATGATAGAAGGGATGATGAGGAGGAGTGAGGAGCTGACAGAAGAACACTTCCGCAGAATAGAACAAAAATTGAATGGGATCGTGCAGCTCTTGCTACAGGATCAGAGAAGCAGGGTAAGATCTAGTCGTGAATGTCATCATCGGCAGGGTCGCTCTTACAGAAGGAGTTCTGAATAGACGGAATCAGAAGAGAGTTTTGACGAAGACATTCATCACGTTGATTGGCCAACTCCTAAGCTGGAGTTTCCTCCATGCAATGGTATGGATGTTGCAGAAAGCTATCATACAGAGATGTTGTAGAAAAACCCACCTACGTTGACAGAGATGATGAAGGAGACGACTCTCCTTGAAAAGAGAAATGGGGCTCGGGTCAATGATGGGTTTGGGGTTGGATCCAGCAGAAGATAGGCTGGGTTTGGTAGCTCTATGCAGCCCAACTGAAGCTCTTATTCATCTGCAAGTGCTAAACATGTGACTACCTTAAATCGGGGAGGCCAGGCTAGCGAATCACAAGCGTCCATCTCTACGCCAGCTGGTGACACGAGTACGACCTCTAATACACGTGTCAATGCTAGTTCCACACAATCTAACGTTGTTTAAGGCGTTGGTAGCAGCAGAGTTAAGAATGAAGGGCGACGAATGACACAAAATGAGCTACAAGATCGAATGCGAAGGGGGATGTGTTTCAAATGTAAAGAGAAATGGAACCCTAATCATCATTGTAATGTTACCCAAGCTGAGCTTTTGAATTTGAGGATCGGTGAAACCCCGAATTATAGAGTTGAGGTAGGAGATGGTGACAAGGTTCAAAGTCACGTTGTGTGCAAACAAATCGAACTTCAAATTCAGGGGTTGGTGACTGAACAAGATTTATTCATCTTTGAATTGGCAGGTGCTGAAGTCATATTGGGATTGGATTGGCTAAGGAGATTGGGGGGAATAAAGGTTGATTTCAACCAGCTGACGTTGAAGGTTAATGTTAATGGTCATGAAGTGGCATTACGGGAAGATTCACAACACTCTACAATTAAGGCTATTTCTAATGATTGTCAAGGATATTTAGTGGACCTTCAATGGACAGAAAGTGCGCCATATGGGTTAGTAAATAATTGGAAGGAGCTCGAAGACCTGTTTTTGGAATTCGATAAAAAAATTCTTGTGAACGTGTTAGGACCCATTTGCAAGGTATTGGTTGTATGGGCAACTAATGCGGGATTTATAAGATCTTGGGCACTCCCACCATTTGAGCTAGCTTTTAGGGTGGTGCATCCCAAGGTTCTTATCATATGGTATCAGAGCCTTCCACTATGTCTCCCGGTTGCAATCGAGCAGCGCGGGTGGTGACGCCGACATTGCAGTGTTCGCCCGGGGCTAATAAAAGACTAACGCAAAGCCAGCCCGCGTGGGCGCCGGGGCTGCTGAGCATGGTGGAATGTTAGGACCCATTTGTAAGGTATAGAACTTGAAGTCCCACATTGGTTGTATGGGCAACTAATTTGGGATTCATAAGGCCTTGAGCACTTCCACCATTTGAGCTAGTTTTTGGGATGGTGCATCCCAAGATTCTTATAGAACGATGGAACTGCTGCAATATGAGGATAGGATCCAGGTGGAGCTCATCATGCACTGCATATTAGTTGGCCCTTGCATTTCGAGCAATGGGATCCAAGCATAAGGCTCTTGAAAGATGAACCTCACCTTGAGTAGGGGTGAGTATTTATAGGACACCTCTAAGGGTGTATACTAGAAGGTGTCACAGAGGATCCGGATTAGCTGAGGTGGCAGGGAATATTCTAGATGGAAAGAATTCAGTTAGAGGTAAGGGGAGGCACATGCTGTGAGCGCTGGATGCTAACGTGGCTGAATTGGTTGGTTAAGTGGTTATAAGGAGGGTGAGGCATGAGGGATGAGGTAGACTGGGAAATTGGGACCATTTTGGGCTGGGAAACCAAAGTGAGAGAGACCTCTGGAGCCTCTCGAATTACTCCAGAAACATTTTACCTTTCAGTTTCTTTCTTCTTCCATTACTGTCAAATTGTCTCTATTATTGTACTTTTCATTTACTGATATATCATAGAAAATCCAGTTCTCTGAGCCATTTTGGTGTTTGGTTGCGCTAAACTCTATTTGATCCAGTTCTTATCAGAATATCATCACAAAAGAAATTCCCCCTTCACAATAGTATTTTTGCCATATTTGCATGACCTACACAACATAGTAAATTGTTGTATGCAAAAAAAGGCCATTGATAGATCAGAAAAAAGAAGACAAGCACAAAAAAGGAACCAAACCTATGTTTTTGAAGAAAAGAAAAAATAATAGAAGTTAAAACATTAAAAAATATAACTATAGAAATTCCAAATTGAAACATGATGCAGAAGAAATTCCAAATTACATGACAATGGGTGGAAAGAACAAGGTACTTAATAACAGGGCAAAGGTCTCAAAATAAACAAAAACCACAAAAACTCCTCGTATTCACAATCTCATAACTCAAATTGGATCATAACTCAAAGGAAAACAAAAGTTTTCTAAGGAAATAGAAAATAAACACATAGGTGCGCACAGCTGACATGTTCCACCACGGCACATCAACACAAACTTCAACAGTAAAAGAAGAATAGTTGCCTGGCGTAATATTGTGCCAAACTGGCGCATAATATCTTGCATTCGCTTTGTAGCAGCTGCTTCTCTACGTGATGCATCCTGTTGTTGCTTCTTAATACTAGGAACAAGTTTCTCCTTATCTTTATCCTTTGTAGCTGAGTTACCTTTAGACATGCTTGTTTGCTTTTTATTCACGGTCAAGTAAAAATTTTCTATATCATGCACTTTATGCTCAAGCTGCAAGAAAAAACCATAACACAGAAAACTTCTATAAGCATAAAATTAAGCAAGAGCAATCATAAACAGACAAAAGGCAGCACCTTTGACTGACCAAACAGATTAAAATCTTCGTAAAAGCCTCTTGAAAGCTAAGAACACAGGAAATATTTCATTCTTCAAATATTAAAATCTCCATTAAACATTTATTATAGGATTTACCAAAATCTATATTTTAGCTTTTCAAACATAACTTCACAGAACCATTATTGAGGTAGAAGAGTTTTTAATAGCAGAAAGGTCAGTGAACGATATAAAATTTAAATGCTAATTTTGTGTGATTCACTCTAACCAATATCAATTAATTGCATAACCAAAATCACAAATATAGCATCTAGGACAATGATTACAAATGACTCATGTTTCAACTAATAGATTGAAATTAAAACTATGGTAGAGCTAAAAGATTGTGTAAAGAGCAAGAGAAGTTCTTATCTTTTTGTTCGCAAACTGTGGCTTAGGTTTAAGTGGTTCTCATCAAATCAATATTATTTTACTGGGAACAAATATATTGTTAAGTGCACAGGTATATGCACAAGAGGTTCTGTGCTGACTACCAAGAAATTTTCATGTCCTTGAATGCAAACATTCATCAAGGAAATGAAAATTATTCTATTTTCTCTAACAATACCATTTTCCCTGGTCCTCAGTTTCTTCTCTACATTCAAGACTGAATTTCCCACAACACTAGACGATTATATCTTCTATCTATCTATGTGCACACATAGACACACACAACTGTATGATAAAGGTAGAAACAACATTGTATTTTAAGAATCATTGCACAACCTATGTGATGCAACACATAAAGCAATGAATCTAATTAAATGATAGCTATAATTTCATGTTTTTTCTTGCCTGATACAGGTCATTTTTTATGCTTTATTCTAAAGATCGTGCATATCATGTATCCCTGACAAGAAAAGCTTGCGTTCTTTAAATCCAATCATTAACAAAAATATGCAATAATGCATTTTTTGACTTGTGTGTGATGATAATTTTGTGCCTAAAATAGGAAAAAAGAGATGAAACATTAAATTAATGAGAAAAAGGTGACAAATTTAACATGGTTCAGCTTTTAGCCTATGTCCAAAGGCAAAGACAGCAAATAATCCTACTTATTGAACACATGGCAAAACCCAGACCCCAAAGAATACCTCCCATTATAGTTTAACAGCCAGTATATGTTTACTCTTATAGTCTCTATAAACTCTAAACTCTTTATATAAGTAATTTTACCTAAGAGGCTTAAACATTTAAAGAGTTAGAGCAATGGTGGACCTCATGCAGCTCCATTACTTGGTGTCTAATCACAAATCACAACCCTATTGAAAACTGCATTTTGCAATGAACAAACAAGTCCTATACTAAAGCTTTTCTGTGTGTTGAAATTAAATGTCTACGAATCACGCATCCGATACATACTATTCAACAGTTCTACTAATAAGTGAGGCTAGCACAAAGCAGTAGTTAGACCAACATTTTCAATCTCTAAAGATTATACATTTGGCAAAAAGTAGTTAGTTGTGGTTTGTGGCAAATGGCATGAACTTAAAAAATGCAAGAGAACAATTACTTGTTGGACTATTACAGAGGCAGCAGCATACCTTATTATGTAACCATACATACCAAAAACACAAAATGCTTCCTTCTCAAGTGCAAGACATAGACAATAGCATTTTCAGGTACCATTTACAGAGAAGCAAAACCTATCATTAAAAACAAAATTCAAGTCTTTTCTGATTGCTAAATGCTAACTACCTATATACAAGCCACCAAAGTTACATAATATCCATTAGTTGTCACTTGTCACATACACGTGAGTGGATTCTAATTTTGGAGGGGAAAAAAATGTAAAAGCACAATGGAGGATTATGAAGATTAAAATATAACCTCACAAATATAAATCAAACAACCTGTTTAAAACTAACAGATAACTAGGCATATGATACACTAGTTGTGAAATGAAATGATCCTCATTAATAGTACTTGCCTTATCAACCTTTGAAACTATCTCGTCAACACGATGCTTGAAACCCTCTATTTGAATTGAACCGCCATTAGGGATTCCTATTGCAACATTACCCGGCTCTGAAATCGATGCATCAAATGTTTCCATCTGATACGATAACACCAGATGCAATACAAATGTGTTGCTTTTTAGCAAGTGATAGATTTTTTTTTAGCAGCACACTTGGTGAGAGAGAGAGAGAGTGCAGACAACAAAAGTACTAGTAAGTACAGTTCCAGAAAGAAAAAAATAAAATAAAAAATCTACCACTGGAAACAGCAAGGAAGTGAATGAAACAGACCAAATTGAAAGCAACAGAATCATTTTATTCTACTTTATGCATAAAAAATAAAAATTAAGATATGCTTCTTCGTCTCACCTCAGTCACTGATGTGATTTCAAAATTCAATAACAACAAAGAGCCACTTGCTATGTGTGTGCGAGAATCAAGAAGGGGAAGGAACAAAGAGAGAGAGAGAGACAGAGAGAGAGATTAGTACCAGAAGGGAAGCAGAGTTAAAAGAGAAAGCAAGATGCTCCTGCAGACACAAGGGAAGCAGAGTTAAAATTGGAATTGCACAGTGCTTGTTTTCGGGCCTACGGCGTCGTTGCTTGCAGGATTAGCAAAATTTATTAAAGAAAGAAAAAAAGATGAAGGGATCAATTATGACAAACTATTATGTTTATTAATTTACTTTAATACATTATCAGTGTAAAAAATTTAATTACATATTAATACATACTTAAATATTAATATTAATATTATATAAAAAGTTTTAACTTTTAGATTTGATGACCAGACAATCTAAAAAATTAGATGTTTTACTGACAATCCATAGGGTACGTTTGAATTCTATTTCTAAAAATAGTTTTTTAACTTTGAAAATAAAAAGATAAAAAAATTGTTTGATAATATTTGTTTTGTAAAAATAGTTATAAGAATAAGTGTTATTAAACCCGACCCGGACATCGACCCGGTCGGGATACTAGATTACTGGGTTATTGGTCGGACTTGTTGGGTCATTGGTCGGTTGACTCGAATATATAAATATATATGAGGCAGGATCATTTGACACCGGTGTCAAAGAAAAAGTTTGACACCTCATCTGGGAACCATTAGATTAAAAAAAATCAATGGTGTCACATGTTTACAAATCAGAATCGTTGAGTTTTTTTAATCTAACGGTTCTCATATGAGGTGTCAAACTTTTTCTTTGACACCGGTGTCAAAGGATCCTATATATATATAATATATATCATATATATATATATATATATATATATATATATATATATATATATATATATATATATCTAAAATGAGTTAAACAAGATTCATTAAATAAACTCAAAAATTACTCAATCACACTTTTACAATTTCATGAAGCACAAATAAATGAAAATACATGCTATTACTATATCAATTTAAATTGCAACTAAGAATTTCTATAAGTATAACTCTCAATAACATTTAAAAGGTCAGATGTTGTGAACTCATTTTTTTCTGATTAATCTACATTGAAATGATATATGTCACATTCTCTCAATTTATTATTCTGCAAATTGTTTTAGTATTGGAAGCTGAAATTTGAGGTCATTGTAAAAGAGTATACTACTAGCAAATAAAGTTACAAAAAAAATTAAAATGATTTCTACATTTTTTAAACAATTTTGGTTTTTTTTATTTTATAAAAATTCATGACCCGACTGGGTCACCGAGTTTGACAAGGTCCGGTGCATGACCGGTTTGATGCTTTACTCGACCAGATCCGATGACCAGTTCGCCAAGTTTTGGGTCGGGTTTATAACACTGATCAAAATTATATCTATTTTTTATTTTTTTATAATTAAATTTAGAGAATATGTTCTAATTATTTTTATTTTATTTTTAGACTTTTAATTTTCAATAAAAAATATAAAATACTCATATCATTAATTATTTTATAAAACAGTTTCAAGAACCAAAAAATAAAATAAAACATAATCAAACAGACCTTATGTTTCTAAGTTTATTCTTTAATAACAGTATTTTAATTTCATATGTGTAGCATCTTTAGAATATTTAATATTTTTTAAAAATAAGACTGCTACAAAATTGTCATAATAAATTTTCAGCAACGTATCAATTCTTTCAATCAATCCAAGCCTTGAGATATAATTATGTAACTATTTAGCCAAAACCATGACTTTAAAGTATGTCACAAATTCAATTTCCACAGTGGATATAACATGAGACTGAATTTGTCTCCATTGAGAATTGAAGCTAGAGACAATGAGAGTTTTTCGTTATGGATTTCTCTAAAACTTAATGAAAACAAATTGATGCATATACATATAATGAAATTGAAGCATTTGAAATATGAAGCACTTAATGTATAAATATGTGTATATACTTCTATTCTCATGCAAACACAATGTTATCAGCCATAAAGCGTGAACGCAGACACATCAACACAATATATTTAAGAGCTTTCTTCATGTAAGTGGTTTCAATTAGATAAATAATCATGTTCATTCAATACAATTAGATGCAAAATGAATTGATAGTTCTTAAAAATTGAGACCCATCTAAGTGTTTATGTGCTCCTTAATTCCTCTTTTAGCTGTTAAATATTTGTTTTATTCTAAGTTTGTTCCCCGGAGCAATTATTTGACAAATTGGGCTAGAGCAATCGTTGAGTGATGGATTAGAGTAGTACTCAGAGCATTTTAGCTTGATTTTATTTTCATGAGTTTTATGGGTTAATTTGCTCTTTGCAGGAAACCTAAGGCCCAACTAAAGAAGACCCAATTCAACAATGCAGAAAGCTTGGAAGAAAAGAAAGAAGAAAGAGACAAAAATGGGACAATAAAGCATAAAGTAGCATCTTTGCAGCGTCCTTTGAGCACAAAACGACCAACCAGAAGCCGCCACGTCAGCAATGACAAAGAGAATGTGTGCAACCCCTCAACAATACGAATTCCTGCGAATTTGCTGCAAAAGGAAGGGGACCACTACTATAAATACGGCTGACCTGGCAGGGAAAAATTCTCTGATTAGAGAAGATTTGAGGAAGGTAGAGCCTTTGGCGGACGAGATTAATCTAGAAGGAAGCACCTATGAAAAAGGAAGGGAACCTTTAGTGCGAGCATCATCTTCGTCTCCTACCTTCAGACACACCATTATGGTTCTTAGCTTATTTTTTTCTCTGTAATTATGGTGAGATACTCTTAAGCATGCTCCTACCTTCAGACACACCATTAAGTTTTATCATGCTCCTAAGCATGAACTGAGTTACTCTTGTAGGTTATGGTGAGATAGAAGTAGCCCTCTTTATCTTAGGTTGATCTTATGATGTAAATTGCTCTTCTTTAATAAATTATGAGTTGTTTCTTGGTTTATTCGATTTGTTGTTGTGAAACCTTTTTGTCTGCTAACGACATTGAAGGTTCATCCCTGATTGTAACCTCTTTCAAAGTAGTGTGGAGCAACAACAAAAATCTTAGGTTGTTTACTCTGAGATAGAGGAGCACCCAGAAGGAGGAATACAGCTATGAGTAAATTGTTTTGATTAGCAATCCCTTCAGCCTATCTTTGGGAAAAGATGGCATCATAATCTCCTTTAAGTTTCAATGCAAAGAACTCTTTAAGTGGTTGGTGTAAAAGGCATTTTGCTCCAAACTGCTTTAGTGTTATTCTGGAGACAGAGCAATCTGTCTCTATACCCAGGATGTTCACTGCAAGCATAAGTTATTCTTAAAAGTGGATGAAATATTAGGGTCGACTAAGAGGGTGAAAATATCGAACCATAACCTACGTCTTTCATTTTATCATTGAATCAACATTAATTCTCTCCCAACGCTTTACAAAAATTATAAAGAATTCAAAGTTCATTTACCATCTTCTTCTTGCTCTCTGTTTTCGTTACTAGTCTTGTTGTCACTGATTTTCAACTGTTACATTAATTTTCTTTACTTACTATTCGTAGATCTGTGCTTCTCGTATAATTTGATTTTTTCAATGCAAGTTCGATTAAGTTAAAAAGGAAACTCAGTGCTTAGTTTATTTAGATTTATTGACCTGTTCAATTAGCTGGTGGCAAGTGCTTGTTGGTGAACTTTAACATAGAACAATTTGGCTCCTTGATAAGAGTGCTTCGTGTTTCCTGTTTATTTTCTTTAATTATCTTAATTACATTTCTTTTAAATGCAACTTTTACAATTGTTCCTTGACGATGATAATAAGTGCTTGTTGGTGAACTTTAACTTAGAACAATTTGGCTCCTTGATATGAGTGCTACACGTTTCCTGTTTTTTTTCTTTTATTTTCTTAATTACATTTCTTTTAAACGCAACTTTTACAATTGTTCCTTGATGACGATAATCTGGGACTCATTACCAACCCTATAATACTTGATGTGTACGCTTGCGCAGTTTGGGTAGAATTTCTCTTCATATGATTAATTGCTCCTCAGATAAAATAGTTGCTCCTCATATATTTTGCTCACATACTTCCCTGAGCACATACAGGCCCAACAAATGTTATCATCGAAAATTGCATCTTTTCAAATGTCTCTTGATCTTGTTTATACTGACGTGTATTCTATGTTAGAAAAATCTCTAGGTGGTGAGTATATTACTACATCACATTCATCGACGATCACACTAGAAGAGTGTGGGTGACTTTGCTTAATACGAAAGATTAGGTACTTCAAGCATTCAAGGAGTTCCATGTAAGGGTTAAAAAGGAGATTGGCAGAAAGTTGAAGGTCATCCGAGCTGACAACGGTAGAGAATATCGATGTCCATTTGAGATGTACTGCAGGGCAATAGGTATAAAGCTGGAGAAGACACCTACAAAGACACCTCAGCTGAATGGTGAAGTAGAAAGAATGAACCGGACAATTGAAGAATAAGTTCTAAGTATGCTATCACATGCCAAGCTTCCCAAGGCGTTCTGGGGAGAAGCCTTCAAGACTGCAGTCGACCTGATCAATCTATCACCCTTAAGTCCTTTGGAAAGAGACATCCCAGAAAAAGTCTGGACGGGCAGAAAAGCAAAGTAAGAACATCTGAAGGTATTTGGATGTCGGTCATTTGAGCATATTCCTAAGGATGAACGAGCAAAGCTGGATGCCATGACCAAAGAGTGTGTTTATCTCGGCTCACCAAAGGATGAGTTTGGATATCGTCTTTGGGATCCCGTCAATAGGAAGGTTGTGAGAAGTCGAGATGTAGTGCTCTTGGAGAGTCATACTATAGAGGACATACAGAAGCCCAAGGTTCGAACTGTTGTTCGTCATGAAGACCCAGTCTTCCCTGTCCGAGCTGAAACATGGGGATAATTCAATCAGCAGAACACTGAAGAGGGTGGACAATAGGAAGAACCACCACTGGTTGAAGGTGATCTAGTACCAGAACATCTCCAAGACTAAGATAAAACAGAATTGGGTTCTTATTGGACAAGTGGCCTCAAACTCAAGAGGGGGTGAATTGTGTTTTAAAAATATTTTCGCAAAATGCT